CATCAGAGGCATTATATTAATTATATTTATCTTGGGATCCATAATAAATGAACCATCTTACTATGAACTATTCTGTAAGAAGACCCTAACTTGAACAATTTGAACAAAAAATGGTTCTCTCTGACTTCTTATAATATGAAAAAAAGAATATCCACTTAACTAAATTGCTTTGCTACCATTATGTTTTTTTATATCACGTTGTTAGTTTGGTTTGTGGAGGAGGGGAAATGGCATCATTAGCTACATTCTTTTATGGTAAAATCTAAAATGTTTAAAAATATTTATAAGGAAGCCCTGAATCTTACAAAAATATATTTATTTATTCTATAATCAGTTCATTCTTTACTAATAAGGTGATTATACATTTTTCCATTTTATGCTATATGGAGAAAACATTTATTCATCTATTGCTTGTATTGTTATCACCTGAACAGCAATGAGGGCACGTCAAAGTGGGCAAAACAAAGTGAATTTGTTTTAGGTCTGGTAAGAATGTAGGGGTTCCAGGTGTGAATTCTAGTAATATAACTGCATTACTTTAAAGTAAGCATCCTGCACTGAGTTATGCTTATTTGTTTTTCTAATTTCAAGACTGGTGATCCTGGATAGACCATTTGTAATATTAATGTAATAAACCAGATTAAATGGTCAACAAATATTAATAATAAATACTATTTATTAAGCACCTATTATTTGCTGCTGAAAACTCTATTAGATATTTTAGTATATCATTGCAAGAATTTCTCAAGGACATTTCTAGGATAGAAATTATTACTGAATTGTAAGATATGTATGTGTTCTACTTTACAAGGTAATGTCAACCTTCTTTCCAAAGTGACTGTTATCTATTGAAACTCTCTCCTGCAGTGTAAGAGAGTTTGTGCATTGTCCCTCATTTTTATCAACAGTGGGTATTGTCCAAACTTAATATTTGACTGACAGTGTGAATATGAGGCTCAGATACATGAAGAAATAGGCCAAAAATTAACCAGTGAGTAAATGCTAGTGTGACATGCAAATGCTGGTTTGCCTGATTACAAATACAATAGGCTAGATTTTATTTTATTTTTTTTTTAAATTTTTATTTATTTATGATAGTCACAGAGAGAGAGAGAGAGGCAGAGACACAGGCAGAGGGAGAAGCAGGCTCCATGTACCGGGAGCCCGACGTGGGATTCGATCCCGGGTCTCCAGGATCGCGCCCTGGGCCAAAGGCAGGCGACAAACCGCTGCGCCACCCAGGGATCCCTAGGCTAGATTTTAAAGAAATGGATATATCTAGGCTAAGTCTGTTGGGGTTTTTTGTTTTGTTTTAGTTTTTGTTTTTGTTTTTTTAGATTTTATTTATTTATTAGAGAGAAAGCAAGTGCAAGAGCAAGCACCAGCGGGGGAATGGGGTGAAGGGAGAAGGAGAAGCAGGCTCCCCGCTGAGCAGGGAGCCCAATGCTGGGCTGGATCCCAGGACCCTGGAATCATGACCTGATCCTAAGGCAGATGCTTTACCGACTGAGCCACCCAGGCCCCCTAGCTAAGTCTTTTTTATTACAGAGAATACTTAGGAAAAATGAGAGTGAGATTTCTTAAATAAAATGGTTATATTATGTAATAACTTCTTAGGGGAAGTATTTCTGAAAGTGTGATTTTAGATTAACCAGACCAGAATCACCTGGTAGTAGTGGTGCGTGTGTGGGTGTGGTGCGATGGGAGTAGAGAAGGGAGGTGCTTATTATTTTTAGAAATGCAGCAGATTCCTGAGAGCCCATCTCTGGTTGGGGTGTGATCCAGTCATCTAAATTGTCTAAAACTCTCCTAGTTTGTTGTTTTTTAGTAAACACTAAAGTTTAAGAACTTCAGCTTTAGGAGTTTCAAAGTAATTCCTCAAATACTGTCAGATTCACACACAAACATGTATTAAGCATGGGCCAGAGACAGAAACTTAGTCTTACATATATGTGAACACTCACTTCTTATTAAGTTTTGTCATCTCTTTCTTTCAGAGTTGCTTTTACTATTTTTTCTCTTTTTTTCTGTCCTTTTGTCTACCTTGCACATGACATGAAATGGCATTAGGCCTCTGGAAGCAATAAGAGTAATTCTCTCTAAACTCTCTCTGTCTGGCTGGACCCTACTCCTTTGTGGAAGGATGATAGGATACAAAAGACATGCTTATTTCTTACTGCAATCACTTATTTCATTGCTTTTTATAGAACTGATGATAGCAGTGGTATCAATTTTGGGTGGGTAAAGATTTAGACTTGATTATAAAAAGTGAAGATTCATGGAGCTGGGGTTAGAATTGTGAAAGATCCTTATATTTATCTCATTACTGTTCTTTTTAAATACCTTTTCTATGAGACAACTAATTTTAAAGAGGAAAACAATGTGTGAGCTTGGTTGAAGAATTACTAGAAATATCATTCAGACCTCTTTTCCCAGCTCGGACTCTAGTGAGAGCCTGTGTGAATAGGAATGGATATTGTAGACTCAAAAGAACTCTGTTCTCTTCACCTGTCCAGACCTTACAAAGGGCTGTTTCCATTGTTGCTGAGCAACTAAATACTTAATTAAGTGGTACAACTAATTATGTTTAGAATTTTGTAGCCTTTATTTTGTTGTTTCAGAGACATTGACTTACCAAAAATTTAAAAACTCTTTGAGTTCAGCAGAAAACCTAAACCTACACAATTTTTATCTAAAAAACGAATATGATATTAATCATAAAACTCTAGATTTTGTAGGAATTGTCGTTAAATTGGGCTCTCACAATTATGCTTATTTCCAAGTTATCTTAATTTTTATAGAATTTTGATTATTTGGTTATAAAATTAAATAATTATTATTAAAGGATTAGTGTCATACTTTGTAAAACAGATTTGTTTAACAAAATCTGAACATAATATGTGGCAGTTTGTATGTCATGCTTCCAAAACAGAGGCTTTAAATCCTATATTATATGTAAAAGTTGTTAGTTATTCTAAAGGTACAATAAGAGATTATTGTTCATATCAGTGTAATAAATTGATACTACCCAATCATACGTTTTCATTTTGCACATTGTCAGAACCTTGGACCTTAATCTTATTCTTTGATTGACAGTAGCGACCAGGGAAAGAACACTTGTATTGTTTGGGATAGTCACATCTGTTCAACTTGATTCAGTTGAAGGTATTTGCATATTCTTAAGTATTTCTTCTGAGAGGGCTTAAATCCTTCTCAAGTGCTTGATGCATTTTTGAAATTCATTCATAAGGTATCTACATGCACTAATAGTTCTGTATAATATTGCTGTGCATAATCTGACAGATAACACCACATTTTAAAAAAAGGTATTCTTTAGGGGATGCTACATTACATTTTTACTTGCCCTGCTGGCAGAAATGTCAGGTTTTTTTCTAAAAAGCTGGTTTAATGTTTTGATTAAATTAATAAATCTTTATTTTAGGCAGGTTTGTCAATCATAAGACAAAATAAAGATTTATTAAATAATAATTCAAAAGTTAATGGTAGTTTTCCTGCCTGGTTGGAAAATTGAATAATTTTATAGAAAACCTTTGTAGAGCTTAAATAGATTTCTGATTAGTCTCCTTATTTTATAAGGAAAGTTAGTGAGGCCTAAGCTTACTTACTCAAGGTCACACAGCTTGAAAATTAGGCCTTATTTTAGATCTGAACTCTCAGACTAGTAAATCCTAAGGAATGTTGGTTTATGGCTTCTGGTTTACATTAATGATGGCATATGTTCTCTGATTTACATGATTTACAGATTACCTTCATCTAAAATGTTCTCTTGCCATTAGAACACATAGAGATCATGTCTTAATTATCATCATATCTCTCCTGAATCAACAACGTGTCTTACACATAGTTAATGCCCAATCATTATTTTGCTGTTTTGTTTTCATTGTTCTCCTAAGCTATTATTCTGTAAAGGATAATTTTGAAATGAGATAGCTTGTTATTAGGATTTTAAGTACCCTTGATAGCAACTAGGTTTCATTATGTATTCATTTTTGGTGAATTGGTAATAGCTGTGTGGAGAATTTGAAACCTGCTGGAATGCCTTGGCAGTGTCTGTCCCAGACATAGTATTAGAGAAACCAGTGGTTTCTTCCTTGGTATATATGATCTTAGGAGAAGGAGAGAGAACTATAGAGTGGAGTGATCAGAAAAGCCCCGGGAAGAAATAAGGCTCAAATTAGAGGATAAATAAATAGAACTTGCTGGGGTGGACATCTTTGTGTCCGAGTGAGGGGTGGTCAGGTGGCCCAGATTCGTGCAATCTGCCAGTCCATTGCCAAAGCCCTGGTAGCCTGTTACCATGTGTGGATGAGGCTTCCAAGAAGGAGCTCAAAGGCATCCTCATCCAGTACAACCAGACCCTGCTGGTAGCTGATCCCCGGCGCTGTGAACCCAAAAAGTTTGGCAGTCTTGGTGCTGGTGCTCGCTACTAGAAATCTTACCGATAAACCTATTGTGAGGAGGAGGGCTCATTTTTATAATAAACTATTGTCACAGGAAAAAAAAGTAGGTGAAATGGTAAAAATGAAGTAGAATACCATAGAGGCTGGCAGTTCTATAAAAAATTGTAGGTATTCAACAAGGAGAAATATCATTAAGTTACATTAAGTAGAATGAAAGGAAGGAAAACAGTTGTTGAGTACTTTTGATGCCTATTTCTGAGCTAGATCTTCTTTTTAGAGGAACTCTGGATACTTTCTTTCCTGTTTGCATTCCTTCCTTTTTCTTTCCTGAGATTATTTAGGGGTGTTTTAGTTTATCTTTCTTCTGCCTGGGCCAGCTCTCTCTAATTTTTATCTGCCTTATTTAAAGATGTAAAAGTTATAATATAACTTCATCACAATTTTATTTCAATGTTGTGTTATAGGAATTAATTAGGGAAGGAAGTTTCAACTATTAAATAACGTATTATTAAAATGCTATTTCAAAATACTTAGCTGTAAAATAAATAACTCCAAAATTCTAATTTTTTTTTCTTCCAGGAATCCCCTTCTGGTCGAAGGAAAGCTCTTGCTACTAGCAGCATCAACATGAAACAGTATGCAAGCCCTATGCCAACTCAGACTGATGTCAAGTTAAAATTCAAGCCATTGTCTAAAAAAGTTGTATCTGCAACTCTCCAGTTTTCATTATCTTGCATTTTCCTTCGGGAAGGAAAAGCCACGTAAGTTCCTTTTGTCAAGAAGACAAGCTGCTTCTGAGTGTGTTTTAAAACTGTATGTAAACAGCTTTTGACTCAGTAGACTGGCAGCAGTTGAAAATATCCTATTGCATACCAGTCATTCTTGCCATTCTTTGTTTTGAAGGCTGAATTAAATGAACTCCTTGTTATTTATAGAGTCTCTTGACTCTAGAGAATGAACAATAATATAGAAGTGACTATTAGGAATTCCAAATTTTAAATTGTATGTTATAGGTACTATAAATGTTTGTTTTTTATTTCATTGTCTTCAGGGTAAATAATTGTACTTTGAAATACAGACAGTTCAATTTATAGAGCTGTTCAGTGAAGCTGAGATATAAGAGAAGCACAAAATGAAAAGTTTAGGATAAGAGGAATAAAAGAACTAAAGGAATTTTTCACAACTCATGTTCTTTCGCACAGCCTTCTAAAAATTTTATAGCAAAGTACAATTTGATATAATTATTCCTTTCAAAAATCACTTCTTAAGCACTGGTAATTCCTGCACCAGTTCTGATCTCCTAAGAGTAAAACTCGAACTGGATAAAATCAGGTAAACATACCTGGAACAGGAAAAAAAAGTAACATGTACTATGGTAGTTGCATACAGTCAAGTCAAGGAAGAGTGCATGTTTGGGGTCTAATGAAAAGGTTAGTACTACTTGGAGAGGAAGATCAGGGAGGGAAGAGATGGGAATTCTAAGCCTAGACTTAAAAGGTGGGAAGAAGTCGGCTATGAATATTTTGATACAATTTAAATAATAGTTCTAAATGTATTTGAGCCAGTGGAATGTGGTTGCTATAATTGGCCATGTCCACTTGACTGATTAGACTGGATTCTATGTGTCAGTCAAAATGAGATGTTTGGCACTCATCTATAGGGCAGCAAATAACTTGGTAGATAACAGTAAGCCTCATCTCTGGAAAGTTGGCTTTTGAGTGAGTGTGGTAGAGAGACAGTACAAAATGGATCAGTCTGTCATCTCAGGACCTTAAATTTTAGTCTTGAATACTGAGAAATTAAAAATAAAGACCTTACCCTGAAGTTAAAGCCAAAATGAGAGGAAAGAAAACACAGAAAGAAGAGAGAAAACAGAATCAGAGAAGACCCTTTGATTGCGGACTCCTTTCCACTGGGCAAAAGCAGTAAGTGATTCAGCACCCTCCACAGGAGAATCTGGGCGAGAGGAATTCAGTTTAACCAAATGTCTCAATTCTAATGGAAAATTCTCTCAAAACATCCTAAACTCCCTCTCTACCTTTTTACTCCTTGCTCCCTAAACTTTCACAGAGAAAAATGTTCAAGATTAAAATATGAGGAAATTACAGAAGTAAAACTAAGCCAGTTAACATTTCAAGAATAATGTTGTATCTTGAAATTATTCCTCATTGGTAGGTGAGCAATTTGTAAGGCATTCCTATAGGTAATACAAGTTTTTTGTTTATGCAGACTTTGTGTCACTAAATCTGTTTTTATAAGGGGAAATGATTTGGTTAACTGTAAACTTAGGTGAGATAAAATGCAAAGAATTTTAAAAACCTTTTTAGTCTGCAAAGTAGTACTGTGTTTAGGATATAAGTGAATATTAGTGAACATTCTTTACAAAAGAGTTTTCTTATTTTGTTTTGTTTTTTATTTTATTGTGGTAAGGACATGAAAAACAGTATCTTAGGGTTTCTGAATTTTAGAGAGGTATATCTAGTTGAAATTTAATTTGTATATTACATATTAAAATATGGTTTATTCACTGCAGTTTATTTGAAACTTAAGGTAAAAATAATAGATCAAGAAAACTTAAATTACTTGATGTTTAGAGTATTAGTTAATGTAAACTATAGACATATATTTAAAATACTTAAAGACATTCTTACATTTTATCAAATATATGGTATTTAACTTATAATCAACCCAGGTCATTTTTCATCTTGTAATTTTAAAAAATGCTAGACTTGAAAGTGTTTTTTCTGTTGCAGTAGTTCCTTAACTTTTTTGGGAGTTATGACCCCTTTGAGAAAAATGCACATTTAAATAAGATTTAAACATAATTTATAGGAGTTTACCATTTCTTTATCTTCCTGTTCACCAAACTAAAAGGGCTATGGATTTCAGATTAAGAACTTCTATTCTGGGCAACCTGGGTGGCTCAGCAGTTTAGCACCACCGTCAGCCCAGGGCGTGATCCTAGAGACCCGGGATCGAGTCCCACGTCGGGCTCCCTGCATGGAGCCTGCTTCTCCCTCTGCCTATGTCTCTATACCCCCCCCCCGCTCTCTCTCTCTCTCTCTCTGTTTCTCATGAATAAATAAAATCTTTAAAAAAAAAACTTCTGATTTATTTTAAAAGTTTGCATATTTTAAAGTCAGGATCTCATTAATATGTGAACTGTCTCACTGTTTTATAAAACAAGTTTTTATTTCCAGATTTAATGATTAGGAAACCACACTTTATTTTATTTATTTTTTAAAGTTTTTATTTATTTACTCATGAGAGAGAGAGAGAGAGTCAGGCAGAGGGAGAAGCAGGCTCCATGCAGGGAGCCCGACATGGGACTTTATCCTGGGACTCCAGGATCATGCCCCAGGCCGAAGGCAGGTGCTAAACCGCTGAGCCACCCAGGGATCCCAGGAAACCACACTTTAATACTTATGAAGAAAATTTTAGTCTTCTGCAGATCTGCAGCACAGAGTTAAACTAACTCCTAACCAGTTAGTTTTTAATCCAGTTTGCTTTTTACTATTTAAACATGCCATTTAAAAATTAACGAATAGGAGTATTTAGATTTTTCAATAATTTTGGGCAACTTTAAAAAGGCTTATTAACATAGAAGGAATATATTATTATTTTCTTAAGAAACAATCTTTTTTCAAACAATGTCATTTCATGAGCTGTGTATTAAATTTTAAATCATTCATGTAGGGATGAAGACATGCAAAGTTTGGCTAGTCTGATGAGTATGAAGCAGGCTGACATTGGCAATTTAGATGACTTCGAAGAAGATAATGAAGAAGATGATGAGAACCGAGTGAACCAAGAGGAAAAGGCAGCAAAAATTACAGGTTGGTTTTATTACATTTAGCTAGAAGTTTATCTTTTTTTTTGCAAAGTTGAAAACTCATTCTTGTTTTCCAGGAAAAAAACAATGCCACTAGCAAAGTATTTTTTCTTTGTAATATATAATATACCATTTAGCTCTCTGAAAACTTTATGTGGTGATGGTTAGAAACAGATTTTCACAATTTAAAATCAAGGCCAAGCTTAGTCAAGAAAGCATAAAACTTTACTGGAACTACTGATATAGTATAAAGTAGTCTAAATATGTTTATACTTTTTTTGTCAGTGTATGGATGAACCTTCTTGTAAGTAAAGATCTGCCTTAAGGGTGGCAGGACATGATGAATTGGCTTCCTTCTCCTAGTTTATGTGCACAATCTTTGTTTTGAATTTGTGTATTTCTTATGTATCCTTATATGTAGAAGCTTCTATGCAAGTATTCCTTATAGCTGGTTTGATCAAACTACTAAGATGAAAAGTGGTTAGAATCTCTTTGTATTAATTGGTCAATAAATATTTATTGATAGTCTGGCTATCACACTTAAGGAATTGGTGTTATACCTTTATTATTGGAATGAAAATCGACCACTATGTTCATACTTCTTTCAGGTAATGAATTATTCTAAATGTATGAATTGATATCCTTAATTTCTATCGTCTAATCACCTCTTGGTACTTTGGCAGCCATCTCAGCCTTAACTCTTACTATCATATCATATTGGGGCAGGGGTGGCAGTAGAATTTCCACTGATTACATGACCCATGTAACTCCTTAGCCAAAAACTTCCTTGACTTTCTTAAATCAGTTCTGTTCACCTCCACTCCATTTATAGAAATTTATTATAAGGAATTGATCAGGTTTGTATATAAAAATGGATGTTTTGGGGGAATCCCTGGGTGGCTCAGCGGTTTAGCGCCTGCCTTCGGCCAAGGGCGTGATCCTGGAGACCTGGGATCGAGTCCCACATCGGGCTCCCTGCATGGAGCCTGCTTCTCCCTCTGCCTGTGTCTCTGTCTCTCTCTCTCTCTTTGTCTCTCATGAATAAATAAATAAAATCTTTAAAAAAAAATAAAGATGGATGTTTTGTTCTGTGCCAGTTTTGTAAATTAATATTTTCTAATTTATGATTGCCACTTTGATTTCTCATTTAACCCAGTGTGGTTTAGGAGACTGTATTTTATTGTGGGCTTTATTTATTTCTAGTTTGTTTGTTTCTTGTTTAAATTTATTCAGATAAAATTCTGAAGACTTTCAAATTTCAGTTTCATATGAGTGAGATTTTTTTCCTTTGAGACATATGATCTATTTTTGTAAATTTTCTGTATCTTTTTACATGTATATTCTATTTGTTAGATTAAGCATATGTTTTTAGATTAAACTTTAACTTTGTAATAGTTATTTGTATTCTTATTCTTTTTGTGTAGCTCATCTATGAAGAACTTCAATGCTAAATTCTTTAGTGCATAAAAATAATTTTCTAATAATTTCATTATGCATTGTAATTTGATCAGTTTACCCCATTTAATGCCTCTTGCCCAGAAATTTTGCCTGGTGTTCATATTTGTAACTCATACTTTCTTTTATATTTGTGTTTTCCTGGTGTATTTATCACTTTCTTTGCAACCTGTATTAAGTATTTCTCTTATAAACATTATTTAGTTTATCTATCTTTATATTCTTTGCCCTTAATAGTTACACTTTTTGATAACTGCATACTTAACTTCACTTTTATTACTTTATACTTTTATTTGGGACTTTTCTTCTTATTTTTTCCCCATTCATCCCTTAAATTTTACCATTCTCCAGTGTTCTTTAAGTACTTTTTAATAGAGTAATTTGGAAGTTATACGTTATATTTTCATTTTACTATACAATCCTCTAAGATAAATAAGCCAGGTGGATAAATAAGTGAACCTATATTTTTCTACTAACATTAAAAATAAAACAGGGGTACCTGGCTGGCTCAGTCAGTAGAGCATGTGACTCTTGGTCTTGGAGTTAAGAGTTGAGCCCATGTTGGGTGTAGAGATTACTTAAAAATAAAATCTTTCAAAAAATAAATGAATAAAACAATGTGTTAACTCACTTCATATAAGATGAGAGATTCAATATTTTTTTCTCTTTTCTTTATTTGAACTCTTCCCCTAACCCCTCCTGGCTGTTATTTTTATTTCAATAATATTTTGGAGTTTTTTCAATAATAATAAATGCAGACATTTACATTATGTTTATAATTGATGTCAGCAACAGTTATACAGTACTTTTAAAAATTCCTTGTCTTTTCTGTCTTTGAGTTCTTTGTTTTATTTGGCTATCTGAAGTACTTCAGGAAGGATAAGTTATAACCTTCCTCTACCACCACCAGTGCCCTTTAACCTATCCTTCAAGATTTAATTTTATTGACACATACACTGAGAAACCTTTCATGCCGACTCCCTCTTAAGCTTGACTGTTCTAGCCCTTGTGCCATTACTGTACTATTTACAAATACAGGCATTTTCTTACAGCATGGGTGTTTATACTGCAGTGGAATACAACTTGATCTTTTTATTGGAGAATATAGTTTGTTCTTTATAAATCACTTTTGGTTAAAACTAAGTCTCAATTAGACACTAGTACCATAAGTAGGAATTTTAAAAACTCACACATTTTCATAGCTGTTTTGGGGAATGTTGTACTGTTTTGATCACAGCAGTGAGAAAAAAAAGGTGATAACAATATGTCAGAAGTTTTATGCTGGTTTTGAAATGAAAAGAAAGGACATTTTAAAAAATGAATTATAGATTTAATGAAAATATTCAGTATTAGATTTTATAGCTAAACCCTGGTCTTAGTCTGTTTGGGTTACTATAACAATATACCATAGATGGGTACCTTATAAACAACAGAAATTTATTTCTGTTCTGGAGGCTGGAAGTCTGAGACTAAGGTGCCAGCACAGTTGGATGAGGCCCTCTTCTGGGTCACAGACTTCTCATTGTATTCCTCAGATGGTGGAAGGGGGCAAGATATCTCTTTGGGGCCTCTTTTAGAAGAGCATTAATCTTATTCATGAAGGCTCTGCCCTCATGACCTAATCCTCTCCCAAAGACCCCACCTCCTAATACCATCACACTGGGAATTAAGATTTCAACATATGAATTTTGTGGGGACACAAACATTCAGACCATGGTAACCCTTAACCCTTCTTGCTTAATCATACACATACATCTTATTTTCTAAAATTCTTGTAGAAGGAATAACTTTCTTTTAGATAGTCTAAAATTCTCTGACCCTAATTGAAGACATTGTTTTAATGCAACTTGTGATGATCCAAGATTTCTTTGGAATTTTACTATTTTGTGTTATTATTTATTTATATATTCTTTTCCCTATTTTCTGAAATTCCTTCAAGGTAGAGACTATTCTATTCATTTTTTTCATCACTAGCTTCTGACACATTGTCTGGAACTTACTGAGAACTTAAGATATGTTAACCGAAAAGCCATAAATCAACGAAGGAACTTTTCTCTCCTATTATATAGCCCATACTTATCACTCTGGCTTATTATCTTGTTCCATTTATTTGACCTTTACTCATATACTACCTTTTACAGGGTAGATTGGTCCCATTTTATGGATGGCATATGATCTGGAGGACACATGATTGAAACCTTAAATGATTCAAGACTAGTTTTCCAAAAGTAGTGAATGCAAAATGTGTTGAGCAAGCAGGGGTAGGTAGGGACAGTGATGATTAAATGCATGCTCTTAAGTCAATCCATAGTCATTGTAGCATATTTTGCTTTGATGTTACATTTTTTTCTCTATTATATTTCCAGAGTACAGTCACTTAAATTAATAGCACAGCATGTTATGGCAGTTGTTTGGCTTCCTTAGTTGCATTTTTTAGCACATGTAAATTCCATTCCAAACTTATTATCTTTCAGGAATTTTTTTTAGCACCAGCACTACCATTCTAAAAATGTTTGGGTAAAGTAGTTTTAGGATAGTTAAAAATATATTAAAATTTAACAACAGTAATGTTAAAGCAATAGGTTAAAACAAAACAAAATAAATGCATTTTATAAACATAGTACAAATAAAGTATGGTGGGTATATTTATTTACCAGTTAAAGTGGCAGTAATTTAAATACAGCTTATATTTACTCTTCCTTGCAGTTTTGAAATTGCTGACAGAATGTTTATAGAGGAAGGAATTATTATTTTAAATTTTGCCTCTATTATATCTTTATATTGCAATTTAAATGCATAAAATGCAATCACATATCAATACGAATTATATATTATTTCCCCAACTAAGCTGCAAAGTTCTTGAGGGAACAAACTGTTACAATTATTTTATGATACTTCAGATTGACACATAGAGGCTATTCATTTAGTCAGTGATTTCTTATGGAATATTGCTGTTAGACCAGTAGTAATTAATAAAATTTATCTTCTGAAATTACTGTCTTTGCTAGAAGGTAAACATAAACTCATGATATCTATACTTGGATTGATCAGAAATCCCTACCCTGTTCTGTTCTAGACAAAATTCACTGCTAAGCGGAAACATATTTTGGGACTGGCTCTTAGACAGAAACCTGTTATATATACAGGTGCATTCTACAGTAAATGGGCAAGGAAATTTTGAATTACAGTTAAATGAATCACTGAAATGTAGTGAGAGTAACAGATCTTGGAAATGGAGAAACAAAGCCTGATAATGGGAGAATTTATTATAGCCAGTGTTAGAAAACATATATGGTTTTAAAAAAATCGGTGCCTCCATCTGTATATGACAGCCTCAGAATGATTGAACCACTATTTGGCAATATGACCATCTTTGAGATTCATGTTGAATTTCTGAATACATATCAGCAAGAAGGAAAAAAAAAGATTCCTCCATAAATAACAGTGTCCTGTTGAATACAACTTAGAAAGGCAGGTTCAACTGAAGCAGTTTATAGCAAATCATTATTGGAGAAACTCAGACATTATGATATACTGGAAAGATACCAG